ACACACACACACACACACACACACACACACACACGTCCAATAAAACGTCTTTGCCTCTCTGGTTTTCTTCCTGATTGACGGTTCAGCAGTAACCTTGACCTTAAAGCTGCAGCGGTGCCGATATGTCACAGCCTGTAAACAAACACAGGCACACACTTCACATCGTAGACTCACAAGTGCTGCTCCAGATTTTCATGAAACTGATTCACTGTCAACTACAAACACCTTCCACCTACATCCACTGTCAGCGTCGCTCTCTCCTTTTTCTCTCCCTCCCCCTCCCCCACTCCCATCTCTCCATCGATCAGCTCAGGGAATTTGAGTGAGCACCTATTGTGCTCCGTTATGAGTCCAGCCTCTCGCTCTCTGGGACAGACAGTCCTGGAATAAATGGTAGGGTCATTCTGACCGACCACTGTTTGTGTGTGTGTGTGTGTGTGTCTGTCTGTCTGTGTGTGTGTGTGTGTGTGTGTGTGTGTGTGTGTGTGTGTTTGTGGGAGGCAGCGTTTGATTATCTGAATCATTCGCCTCAGTGAGCACAGACCCCATCTCTTTCTACAGCCCTTTTCCCTGCCATCAAGACAGACGACACACACTCATAAATACACACACGCAGTAGAGTTGTGGGAAGACACACAATAAATACACACACACACAAGGCCTGTTTCCCCTCAGAGAGACAAAACCATGAATCATAACGTGACAGTAAATATACCCATTTAGCAAAGTCACACTGAAAACAAAAACACATTTTCATCTTTATTAGAGCTGCAGAAATCAGATGAGCTCGTCTGCAGCGCTCGTTTCTTCACGTTAACGCCGCCTGGGTCATTGTCATGTATCGATTTTCACGACGCAGAACGCTGCTGCAGAAATTAAATTCAAGCTTTAAAACGTCTAACGAATGGATCTCAACATGGTCCTGACTCTTTTGTGAAATCAATTTCACACGAATCCCTTTTTTTTTTTCTCTCCTCCCTCATCAGAAAACGGTGGACTGCATGACGACCATGTCAGTCCCCTCCACGCTCGTCAAATGCCTCTACCTGTTCTTTGACCTGCCCCACATGGTTGAGGCCACGGTGGGCCCGACCCCGCAGCCTCCGCCGCCACCACCGCCGCCGCCTTCCACCCAGGAAAAGACCCCGGTGCAGGGCCAGCCGGAGCTGCCCCTCGCTGATCGCAGGGTGCTACTTCAGAAAGTCTTTGTCCAGGTAACATGACACGAACCCTAAGAGACGTATTCAACAAACTGGGGCTTCTCTCTTTTGTTCTCAGCAGAAATCAGTTAACCGTCCTTTTCCACTCTTGCAGATCCTGGTGAAGCTCTGCACCTTTGTGTCCCCGGCAGAGGAGCTGGCCCAGAAGGACGACCTCCAGCTCCTCTTCAGTGCCATCACCTCCTGGTGCCCCCCCCACAACCTGCCCTGGCGGAGGAGCGCTGGGGAGGTGCTCACCACCATCTCCAGACACGGCCTCAGCGTCAACGTGGTCAAATACATACACGGTAAATACAAACATACGGTACATGTAGGATGTCTGCGCACAGACATTGGCTATAGACTCCTCCTCCTTTTTCTGTACCTCTAACCGTTGCGCTCCTCAACCGCTCCGCCCACAGAGAAGGAATGCCTCGCCACGTGTGTTCAGAACATGCAGCAGTCCGATGACCTCTCCCCGCTGGAGATCGTGGAGATGTTTGCCGGCCTCTCCTGCTTCCTTAAAGACTCCAGTGACGTGTCACAGACGCTGCTGGACGATTTCCGAATGTGCCAGGGTTACGCCTTCCTCTCCGACCTCACGCTCAGACTGGAACAGGCCAAGGAAGACGAGTCGAAAGATGCACTGAAGGACCTGGTCAACCTGGTCACCTGTCTGACTACATACGGAGTGACGGAGCTCAAACCTGCTGGTCTGACAACTGGAGCCCCCTTCCTGCTGCCGGGCTTCGTTCTCCCACAGTCTTCTGGGAAAGGTGAGTTGATGGTATTAACAGAAGCTAGCTTGTGAAATATGTTCGAACCCTGAGAAATCTCAAGGAAGTAGGGCGTTTGGTTTTGGTTGATCAAATCATACGTGCTTCACCCGTCGCTTTGTCCATCTCTGCTTTAACGTCCGGGACAAACAACGTATGATGAAGGAAAAACCTAGCCAGTCAGCTAGTTAGCCAGTTGGCAGTTTTTCCCCTCCACTGTTTGAATTGGTCTCGCTCTATCTCACAATGCTACAAAAGGTTCCTTGAGCCGCCCCCGGATCCGGATTCAAATTAAATGGATTCTCTCTTGACCCATGTTTTTTTTTTGCATAATCCTGCTGACAAAGAAAAATACAGGGGTGAAAATATAACGCTCTGATGTCACAGTAATGAAGATGCTCTCTCCCTCCTCTATCCAGAATTACATCCCAGTGATTTCCTGATCACAGAGCCTTTTACTAAACTTTCAGACTACCACCAGCCCAGTTTGCCTAAAATCCCTGAGACAAGAAAAGAATGACATGTTAAAAAAGTCTTGTATTCCCCAGCTGCCGCATCTCTCAGCCAAACTTAATCCCTGAAATGACTTTGATGCTTGGCTGATCCCAGCAAGCTTAACCTGTTGACTGACACCATGGCAACTCTGCCGCCTGTCACACTGCCGGAGACGGATGCCCGAAGCCTCTTGCATACAAATGGGCTCTTTCCAGAGATGCTTTAGTGGTTTCCAGAATTTGTCCTGAGCTGCACGTTGACTTCTAACTGCCTGAGAACATCTCCTCTTGTAGTGTTACTCACAAATATACACAGAATACACACAAAACACGACGCCAAAAATCTAAAAAGAAACATTTGAAATTTTTCAAATCCTCAGTAAAAGACACACACGATGAAATATATTTCTGTGTGACAGATTTTAACACTTGTTATCGTTGTGTGGGCTTTTTTTATTTTGTTGTAACTTTTTTTCTGCTCTCTGCCAAGACGAAAAACACCGAAACTGTCAGTTTTATAACCTCGGACACAGAGACGGTCCGACACTAACACATTTAGCTCTGCTGCGTGTTTTAACATATGCACACAAACACACACACACACACACACACACACGGACACCCCTAATGACAACTCCAGCTGTGGCAAAGTCATTACCAGAAGCCATCACGGTGTGAGGGGTCCGCTTATTCGCCTAATTAGGCCGCCACATTCTCTCAACGGTTGTGGGTGTTTTTCGTGTGTGATGACACATTACTCCGTTGCTTTTCTCGAACGTGTTCCCACGTGTGTGAGTCGCAGTTCGTGGATTTATGTGAGCTACTCTACCGCAAAATGGAGGTTACCTGATGAGTGCAGTTTGTGGAATACATCCATCTTTCCGTCCTAAATTAGAGCCATATACCAAAACCTAAATCAGCTCTGTAACTCTCGGTATTCTTTTCTTTCAGGCCACACAGTACGAAATATCCAGGCCTTCGCGGTGCTCCAGAACGCCTTCCTGCGAGCCAAAACGAGCCGCCTGGCCGACATGCTACTGGACGCCATCGGAAACATCTACTCAGCAGAGCCGGCAAACTACTTCATCCTGGAGTCGCAGCACACCCTGTCGCAGTTTGCAGAGCGCGTGGCCAAGCTCCCCGACGCCCAGGCCAAGTACTTTGAGCTTCTGGAGTTTGTCGTCTTCAGCCTCAACTATGTGCCATGCAAGGAGCTGTTCAGCGTGAGCGTGCTGCTCAAATCGAGCACGTCGCACGCCTGCAGCATCACGGCCGTGCGGACTCTGCTGAAGCTGGCCAGGCACGACCCGGTGTTCAGCGACGTGCTGCGGGAGGTCGGCCTGCTGGAGGTGCTGGTCAACCTGCTGCACAAGTACGCTGCCTTGCTCAAAGACCCGGCCACGCAGCAGCAGCCACACAACAACGACCAAGGTGAGGCGCTAGGCTTTTGTTTAGCAGGTGTCTGGAGTTTATCTTTCACTTATGAAGAAGCAGATGATCCTCAGATGAGCTCACTCTGACGTTTGTCACTGGCAGTTCCACAAAACGGAGCAACTGACTGATTTGATAAATGCGTATATCAAAGCAGCGTACAGTCATTTACCATGAGAAGAAGCAGGACCATGTTTAAAACCTTGAGGTCTGACCTGAAATGCACTGAGCTGATCTGAATCACAACCATATTACGAACCCATTAGACGCAGTTGCTAGAAAATTAAATTCAGTTTTACTGCGTTAAGATTTTCCAGATTCTCAGGGCATTCCCTTATACGCACTTCCACACAATCACTGTGTGTCTCTAATGGAGTCATGATGCCGTCTGATGTCGGCCTCGCCTCCCTCCCTTTGTTTCCCCTCCATCTGTAGCCGACTGTAAAAACAACACGGTGGCGGAAGAGCAGAAGCAGCTGGCCTGGCTGGTGATGGAGACTCTGACTGTGCTGCTGCAGGGCTCCAACACCACCAGCACTAATGCAGGTAAACACACACACACGCACACACACACACACACACACACACACAGGTGGGTCAGTTCTTTGTTAAGACAGTTCTTAAATGCTAAGCTACAAAGCTAAAGGGCAACTGAAAGTTATAACATGAGATCCCATTGTATCTCCTCAGCTTGTTTTGTTGTCTCTTTGAGTTCTAGACCTCACACACATGAGGCTGTGAGGATTGGATTTTAAGCTTCAGGTTTGAATTTGGTGTAAGAGTTTGGTTTGTGGCATTTAGTTGTGATGGTTATGGGAAGATGTGTGTGCGTGTGTGTGTGTGTGTGTG